CGCTCAACTAGATGCTGTAAAGAGTGCCTGTGTGTGTGTGTGTGTGCGTGTCTCGCCAGGGTACATAATTAGCCTGAGGATTCACACTGACATCAATTACAAGAGTGTGTGTGTGTGTGTGTGTGTGTGTGTGTGAGGCCTGAAGGGACTCTGCAGTAAAACTGTTGCTCTCTTACAGGACTCATGCATGTCGTGGGAGACTCTCTGCTCGGCTCATGTTGTGCTGCAGTCTGGAAATCAGCTCCTGCACTAAACGGCTGAGTCAGACATTCAGGATGTTCAAAAACCGCCAGATTTCAAGACTCAGATTCAACACAAGTACAAGAATAACCTTGAAAACACATCGAGGAACAAGTAAAGACACAACAATGAGCACCAGATCAAAACAAGGATGTTCATCAAGTACATGTGTTGTTCATTTGTTAAAAGATTGATGGAGAAACTCGGACGTTAAGGACTCTGCTGGTTAGTCCTGCTTCTTTTAAAGCTTTTAAAGTTATTTTATCCCTGAATAAAAAGGATATAAAGTAAAATTAATGCAAAATCGTATTTGTCCAACACCCGTCTTTACTTAAGTTTCTTTTGTCTTTGCGGACGTATATTCTGATATCTTATCATTATGACACTTAAACAGTTGATTATGAACAAATATAGCACGATGTGTTCTGATTTGATCTGAACACTGAACTTAGAATAAAATGAAATGGTTATTTATATCCTAAAGACCCAATTACAGTCAGGTGTAGGAGCAGAAGCCACCCCAGATTAGGTATTAAGCCACATGACCTACTTACTAAATACTAACACGCACCTGATGTGTGTTTTTTTACCCATGAGTATTACGTTGTAGTGCTTCAACTGATCATCATCTTGATCAACAGAATGTCATAATTACAGCACTATCAAAGAGCTGTCCAATGTAGGGATGCACGATAGGCTCTAAATGGACCATAATGTACTAAATGAACATCATGCTGTATTGAAGAAGACTTGAAACTAGAGATTGAGACCATAAACTCATGTTTACAATGTTTACTGAGGTAATAAATCAAGAGAGAAGTAGAGTCATTTTCTCATAGACTTCTATACAACCAGAGGAGTCGCCCCCTGATGGACATTAGAGAGAATGCAGCTTTAATGCACTTCTGCATCGGCTTCACTCGGCAGATGTCGCCTGTCTGTTACAGCTGTCAAATTTGTTAACCTCTTCAAAAGGACCAAAGTCATCTCATTACACATTCTTCCAAGGACTATTCAAACTCACAGAACTTTACTTTACATCAATGGATCAATGGCAGCGAGGAAATTACACTGAGAAGTATAATTTTTGTAAATCAGCTAAAATAAACAACACAACGAGCTTGTTATTTTTCACTCCGATGAAGTCATTTACATGTGATTCTTATTGTAATACATGGCTGATGTCGCACAGGACGGAGAGCGGAGAGAGGCAGAGGAAGAGCGAGGAGCCGCCTGCTGATCCAGCAACAATGATATCACTTCCCACGAGAGCTGCAGGAGGGGATTACATCATTTCCTGCCTCATCGACATCTGCCTCCGCCTCTCAATACGAGGAAGGGAGATTAATGCAGAGAGTTTTTTTTGGGGGGGGGCATTCTGATTTTACTCTGCTCACCTACAAAGTGCTGTACTTTACTCTGAATGCTTCATTTTACTATAATCTGGCCTGCTGACCTGCATTGATTTATATTCAATCCTCAATATTTGCTTCAATGTGTGTTTCTCTTCAACAAACAGGGCGGAGCCACAACGATAGTTAACCCCGGCGGTTTATCGACATTTAATTTGGGTTGCATAGCATGAAGGTTAGTTCATGTCTGTACCTTTTTAATTTTTAAATTTTTGTTCTGCAATGTCAAAGGTAGTGACACTGTGTGAGTCATAAGCACAAGCACATGCACAGGCACGTGCACTTTTATGAGAAAACAGATACGGTGCAAATTAAGCCCCATTGTGTGTGTGTGTGTGTGTGTATATTTGAGCCCCCAAGGCTGGACCCAGCAGATCCCAGGGGTACCCAGCTGCCGCTGTGTAACGTGACACTCCGACAAAACACACACACACACACACACACACACACACACAGTGGTGTGTTCCAGATTTAGGGAACAAATGAGCTCTATTTTTGCACCAAAAGAAACAAACAAGAGGCAGCAGGAAGTTGATTCTACTGTAGCTGAATGGATTTAACATGAATGTATTAAAGTTGGACATGATGTGGCCGAGTTACTCTCGCTGCTGCACCCCCCCATGCACAAGCAGGCTGGACGTAGAGGCGGCAGATCTATAAGTGCATCCTCACATGATGGATGGAAAGTGGAGGCACAACATTGCTATTCTCAGATCCTAAACCACGACTCGTGAGGGTGGTGCCAGAGGATACTTACAGCTGTCACCATAATCAGAAGGGCTTATTTTATGGTGACGCAGGAACAATTCTGTGATTTACATTTGCCTTTTATCTTTGGTCACACAAACAATTAACAAAAAGTCGGTTGATTTCAATTGAACGGCAACGAAATAAATCTACTTAAATTTATCCGGGTCAAATTAAAAGTTCTTCCTTTGAGAGCTTTTGACATGATTGTGACAAGCACTAGCTTGTTCCTGGTTTGCAAGAGAATTAGCAGTTAGCTTGCCAGCTACAGTAGCTACCAAGTAGCCCTCTTAGTAGTCACAACATCACCAAGCTCCAGGCACCACCTATTTTGGGAGGACCACCAACACTCTACTCAGCTTCAGTCACATTCAATTCTACCACGACTACACATTAATCTGTATATTTTCTACCTTGCTCTATGCTACCAAACCTATGCAGCTCCTCCTTATAATCAATGCAAGAACGGGAGCCACTCCTTCACAAACCCACAGCCACAGTATATTAATATGTACAGTATACACACACACACACACACACACACACACACACACACACACACACACA